TTCAATTCAACAAATAAGTGGATTATGGATTATGGAGCATTTAGATGTGTATTCACATTTATCTCTACTGAAAAATATAAGAGTAGTTCATAATATTGTGGTAATATTCCCTAATAATAGTATAGTTCCAATATAATTTTCTTGTGATGTCTTTATTATTCTACATACTTTATTAAAAAATATTCTATATATACTAAACTTTTAAGTACAATCCGAACTCTGCAGTAAAACTTACTAAAGATTCTTCACTTAAGATAATATTTGTACTTAGTCATTTTTGAATAGGACTCTAATTATCTTTTGGGTGAAAATGTAAAAGATATGTATATTTTTCATGTAGATATGTTGGAGAATATACAAGCTACTTTAATTTCTAGTTTTCCTATTCACACTTGGCATAATCGGCTTAGACATCTCTCTTCAAGAAGACATGATGTATTGAGAAGCTAGCCTCAATTGTATAAAGTTGTGACTAATACTCAACCTTGTTATGCTTTTCTCTTAGTTAAACAAAAGAGATTATCTTTTGCTTTTCATAATTATTTAGCTAAAAGATTGTTTATGATATCTAGAATCATTACAATATAAAATATCACAATAAACACGAATTTTCTTAACTATAGTAAATAATTCTACATGTTTAATTGGATCATGAAATATAAGTTTGATGTGATATGAATAAAACTATATTTTATGCCATCTTATAAACATTCTATTATTGCAGATAAATTTACAAAATCAAGTATCATTTAAATGATGTCATTAAATGAATGATGTATATAACAAGAAGAAGTTGACTTATGAGAGACTTCTTCTCCTATTGTAAAAATGATTATTCTTAAAGTGTTATTTTAGTTGGTGGCCTCATAACATTAGCAATAAATACAGTTGGATGTCAATAATGTTTGTCCTATGGTTATCTACATGAAGAAGTATATATGGAGTTGTCATCTAGTTATTGTAGATAGAAGAAGTCATTTAGAAGTAAACTAGTGTATAAATTGTATAAATCATTATGTGGCTTAAGGCAAGTGTCATGTAATGGAATTCAAAATTTTCTCAAGCTCTTTTAAGTAACAATTTTAAGTCATCTAAATCTAACTATTCATTTTTTATCAAATGATCTAATAATTTTTTTGTTGTTATTTTAGTCTATGTTGATAATATTATTATCACTTATCATTCTACTGATACTACCTGATCTTAAGTTGAAGGTTTTGTGAACATTGAAATACTTTTTTGGTCCAAAAATTACGAGATCTTCCAAGGGGATTAGTTTGTCTCAAAAGGATATACTCTTTAACTGCTTGATGAAATAGGAATGTCGGCTTATAAACCTATTTCAGTGCCTATAGATCCTAATATTTCTTTATATGATACTTACA